TCTCTTTTTTTTCTTGCCCCAATTGCAATCAAAATTCCTCTTATATATGACTTGTGAGCCTCCCATACTGTTGCCTTAGACACATCCTCTGTCTCATTCTCTTTAAAGAATCTCTCAATTTCCTTCCCAATCCTCTGTGCATTATCCTTGTCCATGAGAAGTGCTTCATTCAGCCTCCAACCTACCCCTTCTGTTCTCCTCTTTCCCCATCCCATCCTCAATACAACAGGGGCATGATCCGAAAGCGTCATTACTCCTATATCTGCTTTAACCATTGAGTCTATAAAGAGTGATGTTCTATCAATATATAGTCCAACCTTGAATATATCTGATGTGCATTTGAGAAGAATGTGTAGTCTCTATCTTTCATATGCAAGATTCTCCATGAATCTACCAATTGGCATTCATGGATCACCTTCTTTAATAGTCTCAGAGATCTACTCCCCTCTCGTTGCACCTTAGAATTTGTATCAATTTGTGGATCCATACAAAAATTAAAATCTCCCGCCACTATTATACAACCCTCTTTAAAATCCATCAACTTTTTTAACACACCCTTCAAGTACTCCTCTGGTTTTTTTATTTGGACAGTATATATTAGCTACTGTGCACTCCACCCCTTGTGTATTTTACCCTTCAAAAACAGATATCTCCCCATTTACTCTGAAGTCTGGAACAAGTTCACAGTCTTTGCAGTTGAGCAGGATTTTGATCCTAGTAACTCAGTGGTCGCTCAGTTGCTATAATTTCCTCACACCGATCTGGATTTTGGCGCGTAGCCTAGCTCTGTAAGAGCTCAAATTTGAGGCATTTCAGCTTCATCAAGGAATATGAGCGTGTGAGCTGCCAGGGGAACGTTTCAGGAGGTTGGTCCTGAGACTTTGCCCTGAGGAGAAAAACATTTTGCCTGTGGGATTTTATTCTGGCTGCCTTCAGAAGCGGTAGAGGCTTATTCAGCCAGGTCCATCTCTACATTCAGGGCAGCGCATGCAAAGTGTCTATGAAGACTTTTGCAAAGCAGCAGGCTAGTTACCACAGTGCACTTGCCTCAGGCACTATGGGTAAGATCCAGGGATTTTATGTCAATAGACTTCAACAGAATGGTAGTCTAGGCTTCCATGTCCATTGTAATGCATTTTGATTATACAGTTTAGCCCAGCAATGGGCAAACTACGGCCCGCGGGCCGTATACGGCCCGGCGGACCTTTTTAATCCGGCCCGCGGAGCGTGATACTGTAGGATGGCTGTCAGGATGTGTGTATGCGGGGCAGCGTGACGAACGTGAGGGGAGCTAAGTTCCTCTCACAGTCCGCCCTGAAGACCGGTGTAGCATGAAAATCTGTCTCCTATGAGGATCTGTCCCCCTCGACGTATCTGCGCATGTGCCGGAGATCGCCGATCGGCTGCTAATGCCTGAAACTGGCACATGCGCAGATACGTCGAGGGGGACAGATCCTCATAGGAGACAGATTTTCATGCTACACCAGAACGGCGTGGGAACACGGCGAGAGGAACGCGCGGAGCAAAGGTAAGTGAATTGACACAGGGGGGACTTGGGGACTTAATATGGGGGATGAATTAATATGGGGGGGATGAATTACTATAGGGGGGGGGGTGAATTACTATATGGGGGATGAATTACTATATGGGGGATGAATTACTATGGGGGATGAATTACTATAGGGTGGATGAATTACTATAGGGGGGATGAATTACTATGGGGGGGATGAATTACTATAGGGGGGATGAATTACTATAGGGGGGATGAATTACTATGGTGGATGAATTACTATAGGGGGGATGAATTACTATATGGGGGATGAATTGCTATAGGGGGGATGAATTACTATGGGGGATGAATTACTATATGGGGGATGAATTACTATATGGGGGATGAATTACTATATGGAGGATGAATTACTATGGGGGATGAATTACTATATGGGGGATTAATTACTATAGGGGGGATTAATTACTATATGGGGGATTAATTACTATATGGGGGATTAATTACTATATGGGGGATTAATTACTATATGGGGGATGAATTACTATATGGGGGATGAATTACTATATGGGGGATGAATTACTATATGGGGGATGAATTACTATGGGAGATGAATTACTATATGGGGGATGAATTACTATGGGGGATGAATTACTATATGGGGGATGAAATTACTATATGGGGGGATGAATTACTATATGGGGGATGAATTACTATGGGAGATGAATTACTATATGGGGGATGAATTACTATATATGGGGGATGAATTACTATGGGGGATGAATTACTATGGGGGATGAATTACTATATGGGGGGATGAATTACTGTGGGGGATGAATTACTATATGGAGGAATAATTACTATGCTTACTATGGGGGAATTGTCAGGAATGGACTGGCCAGCAATGGTGGGACTCACCTGCCTTTTGATCTGCAGTACCAGGGCTAGCCAGCGGATGCTCCCAGCAATCAGAGACTCAACCTTTCAGCCAGCTAACACCTGGAACTGATGATACTGGTGTATTTAAGGGATGGCCAGACTTGCAGACTCTGCCTTGGTGTTGTGTTTGTCCTGGGCCCTGTATCTGTCCTGCATCCTGTTTCTGTTCCTTTGCTACCTGTTCTGATCCCTGGCTTGTGACCCTGACCATCCCTCTGCCTGACCCTCTGTACTACGCTGCTTGCTACCTGTTCTGATCCCTGGCTTGTGACCCTGACCATCCCTCTGCCTGACCCTCTGTACTACGCTGCTTGCTACCTGCTGAACCTGGCCTGTGACCCCGACCATTCTCCGCTTGCTCCCCCCTGTACCTACCTGCCCAATTGATATTGACCCGGCCTGCCTGACGACGCTTGCTTGTATGTACTGTTATCTGTGGGTGGTTGGTTTGGTTTGTTTGCACTGTATTATGTTTAGAATTGCACTGCGTTTATGTTTGTATTGTTAGTGTTAATAAATTACATTGTTAATCACATATCTGAAGTCTGCGTTTCCCTGCTTCAGTCACACACCTCTGGTCATACCTGGGAGCCCTGACATTACACCAAGGCCAATCCTGACCAGAAGTGGCTGCACAGGGAAGCCATCTTGGCTTGTTGATGGGAAGGATGGATCTGGATGAGGTTGCGTATTTATATCTGCTAGTGTTTGATGACAAAGAGTATGCTTATCAGACTCTGAAGGAGTATCCCCGGGATGAACTGCTAGAATGTATACGGCTCGCTCATGTTCTAGTAGATCAGGGCACAGAGTTCTCTGAGGTGCAGCCTTTGATTGAGGTTTGTGCAGAGTTGGTTTCATCTGGTACCCCCCGAATGCAGGGATGAAATTTTTGCCACCATTTAGTGCAGACCAGGTAGAGTCCCTGGTGTGGTTATTAGAGGATGATGTGGGTTACTTTCTGGAGCGTTATTCCACATGTTCACCACAGGTACTCAGAGATTGTATAAACGCAGTGCAGTCTTTGGTCAGACAGGCTTTGTGTAAGCTCAGTTTTGTTCAACCCATACTGCAGACATGGTCAGACTTGTTGCACCCAGCCTCAGTCAGCTTACAAAGACCCAGTCCTGCTTCTAACTCTACTCCTGTATTCCCACCAGCTCCTCCAGTTACAGCCCAGTATACTTGGCTATCTACCGCATGTCAGTACCCTGTTCCCACTCGCTGCACCTATCCTGCCTTTAACCCTGTAAAAAAAGCCCTCTGTAGCAACTGCTCCCTCTCCTGTTCCATCCTCCAGTTCTTCTCTGTCTCCAGCTGCTCCATTCGTTTGCAGACCTGCGTTTACTTGCAGTGCTCCAGTAGTTAAAACCAGAAAAAAGCGAAAATTCTTTCCAACCAATACCATCCTGCCAGTATCCAAACCGGTGAGCCTGCCTTCCGTGGTTTCAGCCTGAAGCCTCTACTCGGCCTGAAGCCTGTACTCGGCCTGAAGCCTGTACTCGGCCTGAAGCCTGTACTCGGCCTGATGCCTCTACTCGGCCTGATGCCTCTACTCGGCCTGAAGCCTCTACTCGGCCTGATGCCTCTACTCGGCCTGAAGCCTCTACTCGGCCTGAAGCCTCTACTCGGCCTGATGCCTCTACTCGGCCTGAAGCCTCTACTCGGCCTGAAGCCTCTACTCGGCCTGAAGCCTCTACTCGGCCTGAAGCCTCTACTCGGCCTGAAGCCTCTACTCAGCCGGACGCCGGCATTCAGCCTGATGCCTCTACCCAGCATGATGAACTGATCCAGCCTGACGATCCTATTAGGCCAGTTGACTCGATGCCCGCTGTTGATCCGGTACCTGATCCGGTGCCCGCTGTCGTGCCAATTGACTCAGAGCCCGCTGTCGTACCTGGTGACTTGGTGCCCACTGCCTTGCCAGATGACGCGGTGCCCACTGGCGAGCCAAATGACCTGATGCCTGGTGACCCAGTGCCCGCTGTCATACCTGGTGACCCGATGCCCGCTGTCGAGCCAGACGATCCAATGCCTGGTGACCCGGTGCCCACTGCCTTGCCAGATGACGCGGTGCCCGCTGGCAAGCCAAATGACCTGATGCCTGGTGACCCAGTGCCCGCTGTCATACCTGTTGACCCGATGCCTGCTGTCGAGCCAGACAATCCGGTACCTGATGACCCGGTGCCCACTGTCGTGCCTGTTGACTCGGAACCCACTGCCTTGCCAGATGACGCGGTGCTCGCTGTCAAGCCAAATGACTTGATGCCTGGTGACCCGATGCCCGCTGTCCAGTCAGACGATCCAATGTCTGACCCAGTGCCCGCGGTCATACCAGTTGACTCTCGAGCCCACTGCCTTGCCAGATGACGTGGTGCCCCGCGCGGTCGAGCCAAATGACCTGATGCCTGGTGACCCGATGCCCGCTGTCCGGTCAGACGATCCAATGTCTGACCCAGTGCCCCGCGGTCATACCAGTTGACTCGGAGCCCACTGTCGTGCCTGGTGACTTGGTGCCCGCCGCTCCACCTGGGGGTCCGGCGCCCGCTGCCCCGCCTGGGGGCCCGAGACCTGTCGCTCCGCCTGAGGGCCCGAGACCTGTCGCTCCGCCTGGGGGTCCAGCGCCCGCCGCTCCGCCTGGGGGTCCGGCGCCCGCCCGCCCCGCCCTGGGGGCCTGAGACCTGTCGCTCCGCCTGAGGGCCCGAGACCTGTCGCTCCGCCTGGGGGTCGGCGCCCGCCGCTCCGCCTGAGGGCCCGAGACCTGTCGCTCCACCTGGGGGTCCGGGCGGCGCCCGCCGCTCCGCCTGAGGGCCCGAGACCTGTCGCTCCACCTGGGGGTCCGGCGCCCCGCCGCTCCGCCTGAGGGCCCGAGACCTGTCGCTCCACCTGGGGGTCCGGCGCCCGCCGCTCCGCCTGGGGGCCCGAGACCTGTCGCTCCGCCTGGGGGCCCGAGACCTGTCGCTCCACCTGGGGGTCCGGCGCCCGCCGCTCCCGCCTGAGGGTCCGAGACCTGTAGTTCCCGCCTGGGAGTCCGGCGCCCGCCTCTCCGCCTGGGGGTCCGGCGCCCGCCTCTCCGCCTGGGGGTCCGGCGCCCGCCTCTCCGCCTGGGGGCCCGATGCCTGTCGCCCCCGCCTGGGGGCCCGATGCCTGTCGCCCCGCCTGGGGGCCCGATGCCTGTCGCCCCGCCTGGAGGCCCGATGCCTGTCGCCCCGCCTGGAGGCCCGATGCCTGTCGCCCCGCCTGAGGCCCGATGCCTGTCGCCCCGCCTGGAGGCCCGATGCCTGTCGCCCCGCCTGGAGGCCCGATGCCTGTCGCCCCGCCTGGAGGCCCGATGCCTGTCGCCCCGCCTGGAGGCCCGATGCCTGTCGCCCCGCCTGGAGGCCCGATGCCTGTCGCCCCGCCTGGAGGCCCGATGCCTGTCGCCCCGCCTGGAGGCCCCGATGCCTGTCGCCCCGCCTGGGGGTCCGGTGCCCGCCGCCCCGCCTGAGGGCACGAGACCTGTCGCTCCACCCGGGGGCCCGGCGCCCGCCGCTCCGCCTGAGGGCCCGATGCCTGTCGCCCCGCCTGGGGGCCCGATGCCTGTCGCCCCGCCTGGGGGCCCGATGCCTGTCGCCCCGCCCGGGGGCCCGAGGCCTGTCGCCCCGCCCGGGGGGCCCGAGGCCTGTCGCCCCGCCCGGGGGCCCGATGCCTGTCGCCCCGCCCGGGGGCCCGGTGCCTGTCGCCCCGCCCGGGGGCCCGGTGCCTGTCGCCCCGCCCGGGGGCCCGATGCCTGCCGCCCCGCCCGGGGGCCCGGTGCCTGCCGCCCCGCCCGGGGGGCCCGGTGCCTGCCGCTCCGCCCGGGGGGGGCCGGGGTGCCTGCCGCTCCGCCTGGTGGCCCGCTGCCTGCCGCTTCGCCTGGTAGCCCGATGTGCCTCTGCCCGGAGTCTAGCCCGATGTGCCTCTGCCCGGAGTCTAGCCCGATGTGCCTCTGCCCGGAGTCTAGCCCGATGTGCCTCTGCCCGGAGTCTAGCCCGATGTGCCTCTGCCGGAGTCTAGCCCGATGTGCCTCTGCCCGGAGTCTAGCCCGATGTGCCTCTGCCCGGAGTCTAGCCCGATGTGCCTCTGCCCGGAGTCTAGCCCGATGTGCCTCTGCCCGGAGTCTAGCCCGATGTGCCTCTGCCCGGAGTCCAGCCCGATGTGCCTCTGCCCGGAGTCCAGCCCGATGTGCCTCTGCCCGGAGTCCAGCCCCGATGTGCCTCTGCCGGAGTCCAGCCCGATGTGCCTCTGCCCGAGTCCAGCCCGATGTGCCTCTGCCCGGAGTCCAGCCCGATGTGCCTCTGCCCGGAGTCCAGCCCGATGTGCCTCTGCCCGGAGTCCTGCCCGGTGTGCCAGTCTTTGATATCCCGCCAGTTACCAGACCCGGGCGGTGGAACATTTTTCCCAGCTAGGACTGTTTGGAGCGTCCTGAGGCCGCTCCTTGAGGAGCGCGGGGGGGGGGGGGGGGGTACTGTCAGGAATGGACTGGCCAGCAATGGTGGGACTCACCTGCCTTTTGATCTGCAGTACCAGGGCTAGCCAGCGGATGCTCCCAGCAATCAGAGACTCAACCTTTCAGCCAGCTAACACCTGGAACTGATGACACTGGTGTATTTAAGGGATGGCCAGACTTGCAGACTCTGCCTTGGTGTTGTGTTTGTCCTGGGCCCTGTATCTGTCCTGCATCCTGTTTCTGTTCCTTTGCTACCTGTTCTGATCCCTGGCTTGTGACCCTGACCATCCCTCTGCCTGACCCTCTGTACTACGCTGCTTGCTACCTGTTCTGATCCCTGGCTTGTGACCCTGACCATCCCTCTGCCTGACCCTCTGTACTACGCTGCTTGCTACCTGCTGAACCTGGCTGTGACTCCGACCATTCTCCGCTTGCTCCCCCTGTACCTACCTGCCCAATTGATATTGACCCGGCCTGCCTGACGACGCTTGCTTGTATGTACTGTTATCTGTGGGTGGTTGGTTTGGTTTTGTTTGCACTGTATTATGTTTAGTATTGCACTGCGTTTATGTTTGTATTGTTCGAGTGTTAATAAATTACATTGTTAATCACATATCTGAAGTCTGCGTTTCCCTGCTTCAGTCACACACCTCTGGTCATACCTGGGAGCCCTGACAGGAATATTACTATACTTACTATGGATGACACATACACATCATTCATCTACTCTTGGTCCGGCACCCGGGTCCAATATATGAACCCATTGCGGCCCTCAAGTCAAAAAGTTTGCTCACCCCTGGTTTTGCCCTTCCTTGTTTTAGCTAGTTATTTATCACATGTATTGCTGCCATGTTGGCGTCAGGAACAAAAAAACAAAAAAATGTATCATACTTACCGTAATTTTCCTTTCCTGATGCCAATCCATGGCAGCATACGAACCCTCCCTTGTTTGATCTTGATTGTACAGAGAATGGGGGTGGTTGCTCTGTCAGACTTTTACAGATATACACAGGTCCTGTGGGTGGATTTAGTGGCAGAGATATATCACATGTATGCTGCCATGGATTGGTGTCAGGAAAGGGAAATTACGGTAAGTATGATACAATTTTCTGTTTTTTTTATGCATCAGCAATTGCAATCCATTTTTTTTTTTTTTTTTTTTTACTAGCAACAAAACTCTAATTGAAGCAATTCTATAGCGGCTGGCTGCAAATTTTCTTCCACAAAACACTCATGTGACATGGCTTTAATGGTATGAACTTGGTTTTGTGGTTTGTCAATGGCCCATTGTTGTCCTCATGGTTGACTATAGACTTATATGGTTCCCTTGCAGATGAATAAGCGTGGAGAACATTTAATAGGGTAGTAGATAGAATCTAATAAATAATCTTGGCATTGCTATATTGTGCTGGATTTACTGTATAATCGTATCAAAAATAGTGTTTTATCTTACCCTTTGTTGTCCTTCTGATATTTCAGTAACATCCACGGAATAACAAACAACCCTGGACTCCCTGCAGAGGAGATTAAATAATCCATCATTTTTTGTAAACTGTTTCTCAGCTCAAGAACACAAATGTAATATATGCAGTTTACTAGCCTTTAGATGTGTCTGGCTGAAAGCCCAATTGATTTTCTTTATTTAGACTTTTTTCCCTTTATATTCACTTAGCACACTTCCTTTCCTAGGGTGACAATTTTCATGCACCCTCCTATATCTGTGGAGGGGTTCAGTAGTCCCCAGCAGTGAAGTAGGCAGGGTTTGATAACAATACAGTAACTTACATGTTCACTTGATTTGGCAGATCAACAGGTATTTTGTGAACTTTTCAAACAGGTGTAATAAAATTATTTTATTGGTATATTTAATAAACCAAAGGGACCAAATAAGAGAATTCAGTGGAGAGTTTACTGGTACCCAAAGGCACAGAATGAACACTTCCTGATTGGCTGTCTGTTCTGCAGATACTCTTTGGCTGACAGATCTCAAAAGAAGGATTAGCTAGATATTTTCAGCCCACTATTATTATGTTACCCAGTCACAAGCCACCGCGGTTGGGTAATTCCTCCTGCTCCCCCCCTTCTATATGAATAGACATGCATAACTTGGCTGCTCAAAGGATTAATTTTACTCGAAGAGCCTTCCCAAAATAGATCATTGAGTCCTTCTATAGCAATGGAAATGAATAAATGAATAAAAAACTCCCAGTAATGCTATTACTAGGCCGCTGCTAGAGGTAGCTCTAATGATTTGTAGTGTGACTTCAGGAGACTAACACAACAATCTCACATTTAAACTTGGAACTAGCAAGTGAGCAACATGTGTTTTCTGTTCTCCTCTTGTTAAAAGGTTAGTCATCACACTTGACTTTATGCCATCTTTGTTCAGTTTTGTATTCACTTTCTCTGTTTAGTAATTCTATATGTTAAGTAATGGTAACTCTCTTTAACACAAATTGGTTCACTTTTCCATGTGGTCTGCACCTGCCACTATAAAGAGAGTAATTATCTGTATAATGTGCTCCATTTTGGTTTGTCACATTAAACTCAGAATGAGCAAGTGAGCACATGTGTTTTCTGTTCTCCTCTTGATACAGATACTGCAGGCTGCATCTTTGTCATACCTTCATACTCAGATCACCGATAATCCTGTAACATTTTACTACTGTGCTACATATCTGACTATCCTCTAGAATCCAGAAGAGACAATAGATAGCTTTATATATACAGTACTTCCCAATAATGCAGGGGTCTGGGTTGAGAGACACGTGTCTACCCAAGGCATATTATAGTCATCAGAAGGAATCCACTTACCCCATCCAAGGCCCAGGTACAAGACACCATTGTTGCTCTTGCAAAATACAGCACCAATCAGCAGTTTATATAGGTAGACTGCCTCCCACCACAAACCAATAGTGATTGGCCAGCATACAGTAATGCATTATCGCTTGTGTCCTACGACATTCATCCACCCTGTAACATTGAGATTCCATTTTAAGGTAATGCTTACACAGCAGGTTTTAGCAGAAAGCTGAATTAAATGTTAGAAATTGATTTGTATAAAATACATTTGTAGCATTTGAAATTAGAAGCAAGCCACCCTACTCACTGGTTTCTCATTAGCCATAATAAAGCTGCTGACAAACATGTAAAGCGGGCATTAAGACAAAATACAGAGAAAAGCGATGAGTTGTGCAATGCAAAATACATGACTTGAGATTACTTGAATCTGCTTCGAGAGGCGATCTAGCTGGAAAATACAGTCCTATGTCCCGCTACAAGATTGATCTGTGTTCCATTTTGACAGAAATAATAACTATGATTGTAAGCTAGTAGAAAAAAAACCACTAATTATGATTGAATCAAAATGTAGGAGTGCTGGAAGGCAAAATGTTTTATAGCAGACATTTATGGATTCTTACGGCCGGGTTATCAAAGAAGCATTTGACGACCTGTTTGGATAGTCAGCTTGGAGTTGTCAATAGAGCAAGAATTTGTGACACCAGGGGGCGGAGTGGACCATAAAGGCTGCATACCATAGTCCTGGCCTAGGAGTTCACTACATACCCCCTAGTTGGTTGGGCTAAGGGAGATAAGAGGAGCCTCAGCCCGGGGCTTTCCCTGGTGACATGAAGAGATGTTGATAAGGACAGATTACCTGGCTTCGAACCAGAAGGAAGAACCCGGTGATGTGGACCTCGACATGTGTGACCTGGGGTCCAGATAGGATTGTGTGGCAATATAGCAGTTGCCCCCTGGTTGGGAAGAAAACAACTTACTTCCGGGAGGATGCCTTGGGGTAATAATACAATACTTCCCTAATGGAGTAGGGAGGAGAAACCCCTTATGGAGTTTGCGGGACTGTTGCTCCATTGGACGGAGGACTACACCAGTGGGGCAGGGGTGTTTGGGGGGTGTCTGAGATTGTTTTAAAACAAGTCTGACCAAAGTTGCCCCCTCCTTCCCTCTTTTCTATCCAGGCCCAGCCAAAATTTTAACTGCACTTTCGTAAACGTACATATTCGCTCTTTATTTCTAAGCCCCCGTAATATTTGTTTAGATTTATCTGTTTGTGTTTTACTTCCCCCTTTTTTAATAAATAAGACCTTGCTTCTGTGAGCTTGTTTTTATTATTAATTTTTATAAAAATTGTAATATATTTACGCCATCAATATTGTCAGAGCTAA